TCACCTCCCAACGTTTAGGCGCTGCATCTGCGCCTTTGATCCTAGAGGGTGGTGGCGTTCCCACGGCGGATGCGGAAAACTCGGCTTCTAGCGGAGTCTCACGCGAACCGTGAATTTTTTTATTTTAAGTTCACGATTAGTTATCAAATTACGCCTGGGTCCAAATCCCCTCCAATTTACGGGTAACGTAGGAAGGTTATAATTCGCTCTCTCTTTCGCTCTCTCTCTCTCTCTCTCGCACAAACAAAAACTTCCATGAAAATTGAAAGTCAGATGATCGGTGGCCGGAATAGATGAAAAATTGGAAATTTCATTGATTTAACTTAAGCGGGCAATCACTCATCAAAACATCCCTGAGATAAAACAACGCAGGAGTAAGTACATTCTACCCTGGCATTGCAGACAGACGCATACCAGTGAACGTCTTCACAGAGTATGGACGAAGTAAGTTCGAATGCAGTGACATTATACTTGGGGACCTTGTTATGTTCTCGTGCACACCACTACTACTAGACAACAGGAACTATTTCTAGTTTGGTGACAAGATAATAGAAACTAATTATTTACATTCTCAAGTGGGGAAGAAGAGCAAGGAGAAGAACACATGAATTCAGAATATGGATGCGTGGATGCGTCCAATAGAGATATGACGTAATCACGTGAAGCAAGGCGTATAACGTAACAATACGCGTTATACGGGTGATAATAACTTGAAGTACATGCGCAATACATGAGTAGCTAGCATGATAGATCAGACCTCATAATATGAGTTACTAGTTGCATTGTGCGTATCTATATTGAGTTCTGAATTATTTTTGATTTGCCTGTAATCCTTCTGAAGAGATGGCCACGAAAACGTTCAAGGAACAAGTTATTATACATGAAAATAAGATTTACTAATGGTGTTTGTACTGAGTGCGCAGCTTACTCTAATCGTCGCGTTAATCACATTTCAATCTCCACATAGGCTTTTTAGTTATAATTATAAATACATAATAAGAATCAAACTGAACTGAACAAGTTAGCAAGTTAAACATAGTCATCGACAGATTGCAAGCGACCGACTTTGCAGAGCTTAGTTAATTTCTTTCCACGGAAGAAGGATTAATAAGAAGATAATAATCAGCTTTGCGGGTTCGTACTGGCAGCAAGTTCAGCGCCATACCGTTTCATGGCGCAAATCCAATCTGCGTTAGTCATCATCCTCGACCCTGGTGATGACCCAAGTATGTAGTTACCCAAGCCTCCATAAAGAGCATTAAGGCAGGGACGACTAGACAGTGACAAAGTTTTGCGGAACTTGTTGTACTCAAGAATAGCCGTGAAGTAATCCTCCACCTTCCATGTTCGTCGGTTGCTCTTAATGAAGAGATAGATCACCGAATGTCTTGTTGCGAGATGTGCAGTGGCAGCAATCCATTCTCGAGTTGCAGATGTGTCATCGCTTAACACGTCACTGTATCCATACTCCATATCAACATGATGGAAGGGATTATAGGTCCAAGTATGATCTAAGTGCTGTGTGAGAAGTGCGATCAAATGCGTATCTTTTAGGGATAAGAGTAGTGTTGCATCTTGCTTTGCGACGCTGTAAAACCCTTTCGCAAGTTCCACCAGCCTGCAAGAGCGGTGCGTGTAGGACAAGTATGGGATCATCTCTGAAAGATCCTTTTCTATATCCATAATGATAGCACTTCGGTAATGTTCAATGGAGCTGCAACTCTCGGACGACAAATCCGCTAAGTATTTAAGGTGGCAGACTACCCAAAAATTCGCTGAAAAATCGAATTTGTAAATTCATATTGAGTGCTACGTCAGTTGAAAGAGCATGAATAGCTGCAAATTCTCTGAAAATTGTGTCCCTATCTGACCAGCCGTTCAAGAGTTATGGCCGACAATGTGCCCTTGCAAGGAAAGATGTTTTTGTTGCATGCTGTCATTTGTTGGCAGCACTGTATTTGAATGTGAGCAGACCGTGCGCAATTTGTCGTATTATGGAAACACGCGAAGTGTGCAGAATTTTGCCCCAAGTCCAAAAAAGTCCAAAATTCACGTTAAAAAAACACGTATTGTGCTGCACGGCGGCGGGCGAAGCCCGCCGCCGTGCAGCAGGACTTTTGCCAGCACTCTCGTGACGTTGCAGATATGTGGCTTGATTATTGTAGTTGACGTTGATTTACAGTGCATTTCAAATCTATAGACGCGTAGGGTTTTTAAAATATTTCAAATTTGGCTGGAACTTTTTGAGAATAGTTTTCGGTATATTGCTCAGGATCGCTCCACAATTACTCTCATATAGTTTCTAAAGGATTGGATAACAGACGCCCAATTTGGAAAAATGTATGCACAAAGTGATCACAGATTTTATGTGGTATAGATGCTGGCATAACGGTTTTTGCCTAGGTACGCGTCTATAGTTTTGAAATGGACTGTAGTGACTTTGGCAAGTTTGAGTCGTGTCAAGAAGTCAGGTAGGATTCAGTACTAGGCAGTAGTGAAACGTGAGTGGCAGTCTTTGCCGGTTTCTGAGGGCATCCTGGATTTGGTGTGCAGCGCTGTGGAAATTGCTTGCTGTGGAGGTCCCAGCACTGGATGTTGTATCAAAGGTACGACCTCGTAGCACGTGCTAAACCTAAAAAAAATCAAAAATTGACTTGGGTCTGTGGGAGTCCGTGAGAGAACGCCCACTCGTTCCGTTGTGACAAATTCCAGGGCCACGTTGAGGGGCCCTACCCCACAACCCATGGCTGCTTCTGGACTTGTTTTAGGTTTGGATCCCGCGCACGGACAGAATGGGCACGAAAATGTGAAAAAAATGTAAATGCATTTTTTTGGCTCCTGGGTGGCTCGCACGCCGTAGCACTATGCCGGAAATTTGAGTTTTTCCGGCCTGGAAAGCCTGTCAGTGAGGCGCAAGAACTTGTAAATCATGTCCTGAGGGCCAGCATAGTGGCAGGAGTGTGTGGTCAAAATTTCACTCAAATCCACTGAGAAACACCAAAGTTACGGTCAATTGAATGCCATATGAAATTTATGGGTGATGTGCCCCCTTAAGTCTGTACCAACTCTCGCCAAAGTATGTAGCAGAGAAACATGTGACCTCATTGCACGTGTCTTTGATCGACGTCGCTGAAAGGTTCGGAAGGTAGGTAGAAGATTCCTCCGCGTTCAGGCACTGCTCTTGTGCAAATGACATCAACTGCCCAGTGCTTGTCCAGCTAGTAGGCGTATTCACGTTTTCAGGCAGACTCAGCACCAGGCTCGATAATTGCACAGTCAATCGCATTTTGCATTGGAAAACACGACGATCATAGCTACCGAACACGCAGTTTATGAAATATCTCTTATGGCTATAATGCACGCTAGCTACCCTGGCATCGACGAAGGACTGATATGCACCAATACACGTTTTTAGCGAATGTCTTTGGTTGCATGCACTGATCCTATTCGTTATAATTATCGCTCACGCGCGCTACATTTTTCTCTCTTTCCACCGTCTATCACTGTTCAACCCAGCTGCAGCCATCTACGGCTACTCGAGAAAAATACAATCACGTTGCGGGAGCAGCTAACGACATACGTGTCATTCGCTCTCTGCTCCGCAATTGACGCGTTATTGAAGAAGAACTAATGAAGGATGGCATTATCTCATCACCGTGTTGTCCGGGTTCACGGGCAACCGCTCTGGCGGGTTTTCTGAGCAATGTGGACTGACTATTTTCCGAAAGACTCAGCCTGGGCTGCATGGTGAGTGAAATCGAAGAGGTCAGAGGACAGAAAAACCAAAGTATCTACACCAACAAGCAATGCCAACTTCAGAGAATAGAACCCCCTCCCCGCAGGCACCCACTAGATCAAGCATTGTCACAGAGTCCAGGTGTTGGCCTCAAACATATTGACTACCATTGAACGTTTTCCACAACTTAAAATTCTTCCCTGTTCTCCAGCAACTTTTAAAGCAATCTGAACTTACTTTAGAGTACTTTGCACCACCGCTATTGACCGCAGCGCTAGTATCTCACTATAACTTCAATTATAGAGGTTTTTTGGGCCAGTTAAAGCATTCAAGTGACACTGTAAGGCACATTATACTGGGAATAAATCCCCGCCATAGTTACTGTTTATACTATTGCTGAACTTCCGGTCATCCTCCTCCGGCCCTAGTCCCAACCTAAAATTCTAACCATCTGGCCATTGTCTATGAAGGAAGGTGCAAACAAAATTTCTATTAGATGGCTGTTTTGAGAGCATCCTGGAAGGAAGGTGATCCTAGATGATCGGTTGTTGAAAGTACATTTCAACTGTGGTCGACGTACTGGTACGTGTAATTCATGCATTACGCTATGCTTCTATGTGGTGTGTTCGAATAGTACCCATGCCCGTGATCTTACTGCGATTGATAACAAATACCGTTTCACAATGGAAGGCAACGACCGAAGCCCTCTCATATGCTACTTCCGGATGACGTGCATTCCAAGAATCCCTAGACATCAGCAAAGTGGCAGAGTTTTCATTATAGAATATTTCCGGAACTGGATACAATGATGAAAAGGAAACCAGCTCTAAGCAATGAAAACGTGAAAAGACACGGATTGGTTTACCAGGAGCAAGGTCATTGGATTTCTTCTAGCGAAACAAAATTCATGAAAACAGGGTTATATTGCAGGGAAATGAACAAGTAACGAGGATCCTGAACAGAGAAAGATCGAAATTGAGATTACTTAAATTTAATTGGTCGGAATGTTTACAGAAGATGGTATTCGTACATTTACCAACGCTAACAGTTTTCAAAACTCGCATTCACAATGCAACTAGTTCCAGTAATACAGAGACACGCTGAAAATGACAGCTGTTCACAAAGGAAGTTTACAAAATGAAAAATTCACCAATCTTTAGCAATGCACCCGTCCAGAAATCATGACAATGGGGGCACAAAACTGCACTGGCTGTTGTGATACTGGCATTCTGCTGCTCATATTTCTCTCATTCGTTCTTCTTCATCACGCCGTTTCGAGACTTTTCGTAGCCAGCACCTTGCCATAATCCACCATGGCTTTGAACAATTCGTCTGCTGTCCATTCCTTCCTAGAATGTGTTCCTTGTAAGGCAGGTTGTAGGTAACTTCCCAAATGTAGGTAGAGAGTTGCACGATCAGGGATACTGGACTTTGGCAATCCCTTCAAGAAGTCTTCATACTCCATGACAGCCATGAAATAATCCTCGATAGGAACCGTCCGCATGCTTCCCATTATCAGGAGCTTGACAACAGAATGTTTGGTTGCGAACTGCCCGACGGCGTGTATCCAATGATTTGTTGAAATCGCAGCCTCGTGTTCAGCACACTTGTTCTTACTGACGAAATCCCAATGAACGAAGGGATTAAACGTCCATCTAGGAATGATTCGCTCCAGACCATATTCACAAAAGTAGGGACATACCGTGCTCAGGGCTGCCAATAATCTTGTGTCGTGAATTGCAATACTGTAAAAACATTGTGCAACATCAACAAGCCTCCTGGAACGGTTCACGTAGGGTAAACATAATACCAGCTTTGGGATATCCTGTTGAAAATGTTCGATCATAGCTTCTTGGCACTCTTCAGTAGAGCCACATATATCTTGTAACCAGGTCGTCACGTCTTCTATTCTATACACATTCATGTCTGCATCTCCATCAGATGAGTCTGTCCTTTTGTCCTGAAACAACCCAGGCGAAAGGTTGGGAAGAATGTCACAAGCTTCAGCTACGAGGAATAAGTCTACATGGATCAGATCACTCTGTAAACAAGAGAAGGTCCAGCTTGTGAATTCACCGGTAGTTGGAGGCGCCATCAACGCCAGACTCCTTAATTGCTTGAGCAATATATACTTACGGTCGAAAACCCAGCGATTAGCTCTTTCGACAACGAAATCTTTTATGCTATCCCACAGGCTATGATGCAGGCTAGCCACACTGCCTGCTATGTAGAGAATTCGTGCAGCTCGAATATACGACATTTCCAAGTAAGGACTGAGATGATACCGCTTCTGCATGGGATGGAAGCACATAAAAATGACAAATACAGAAAATATCGTTGCATTCATTAGTTTCAGGGAGTTTCAAACAGGACAATTATGAAGAACAAAGGCTTTAACCACCAAATCTTAAACCAGGGACGTAAATTTACATGTAAGTAAATACATGGTTTTAAACATTCAAGCGATGCCGACGCGGATCCCTTGAATATTGTTTTTATATTTCAAAATTAATAATACATGTACACTTTCATCCTGCTGTAGTGTAGCATTTACAATCGACTTGTTCATTCCTGAAGTTTGAACTCGGATGTTGAGCCAATGTAATCATGGAAAATAAATGAAAAACTGAATGTGGTGATATGTGACCTACTGTTCACCAAAGTAACTAGATCATTATACAGTCAGGAAATGTAACAACAAAGGACAAAACCGACATTGGAGCTAGGGTCAGGTCCGCGATGCATTTTTCGGTGCTTTTGTGCCTTTTTGCTGACTTACTTCCTCTGTTAACAAAAAACTTCGTGATCGATTTTTTGAGGGACTGGTTTGCGCACAAACTATGGTGAAATGAGTCGCGATCATTTTCTCCGCCTTGCCTGGCATGTCATGAGAGAGGTACGATTCAAGAAAAGCGACCTTTCCCAACAAGCCGATAGGAATAGATGGTTGCGCTGTGGCAACATAGGTGATGACAGCCATTGCGAATTAAACTGAACATAGGAGTAAGGGATGATATTGGTTCATAAACCTGTACCGGTCTGTCTGTTTCAACAAGTTGTGAATGGCTCATTGTATATTTTGTCGAAGACTCTTTTAAGAGTTTAAACCTGTCACTGAGTAATGTTATTGAATTGACTTTCTGCGAGATAATTATATACAGCAACAGCCACCGCAGTCGACTGTGGACGCCGACACCGACACCAGCTGCTTGTGAGAACAGCTACATTCTCCAAAACACATGGTTGACAATGAAATGAAAATAGGTCGGAAACAGACAGTGCAAAAAAGAAAGAATCTTTGGCTTAGCAAGGAGCCTCTTTGCGATCTCCTTTTGTAATAGAACAATTTGAATAAAGTCTCAAAACAATACAAAAACATTGCACATTGGTACTCACCTGGCATAGATGCTTAAACGTGTACTCATTGAGCAGCAGCTTCTTAACATTCCTCGAAACTCCACACAGCTGAAAGATGTCCAGAATTGACAACATTGGCAATAATGTACCTTGCAACACATCAAATGAAACACTGTCCAGTTCATTCGGGATCGGGCCCTGCTCCATCACCTGCAGATATTCAGATACATGTTGTGATCTCGTTGCATCACTGTTTGCGGATTCTAGATGCAATTCCTCTTGCTGGAGTTTATCATCACCAGTAAGAGTTTGACTAGCAGCAGCCATTAGCTCTGGCATCGCATATGTATTCTCAGTAGTGATGTCATGTTGTGGCTTGGCTACCTCGGTTGCGTCATCGTCGCGAACGTCAGGCTTCTGATGGGCATCCATTGCCAATGTACGCTCCACAAAATTGCTGATTTCCCTGAACAACTGCACACCCAGCCAACGGACACAGAGCAGTACAGTTGAGGATAGAATAACATCTACATGTATATGCCGCACATAGACAGCCACCAGCAAACAAACCAATAATTCGCTAAACAGATAATGCATAGCGCAATAGATACATCTGGGAAAAACATGTACATGGTGTGAATCGGCAATAGCGTCACCTCAAATATTACTTATTGAAAACACGATTTTCTCTCCTAATTATTGCATGCATTATAATACTTTCTTTCAATAGAATTAACGAAACCAACAAATGTCCCAAATAATTAATAACCATTACAAATTGAAGACATTTTTTCCAGTGTGTTGACAGAGTTTAGACTTACCTAGGAGCAGAGACTTGCACCTGGTGTTGTCGGGGTGCAACTACAGTTTCCAGGGGAAAGGGATATCTGAGGTCGCCTGATGATTCGAAAACTGCAAGTGAACTGATGGTAAGCAAGATCGAGAACACTGATTTATACCTTCATACTACTACTAATACTACTGCTGAGTAGTGTACTGTGTAGTGAAGACCTGAGACGTGACAGCTCAGCTCTAACTATACCGTAGGCGTAAAATGAGTTGTCTCTCAGAAGAAGGTCACAGTACATCCACTTTGCGTTATCAACGTTTATTACTGCTATATGGCTGACTGTTGATCCACTAAGCTCTTAGTGGTACAGCAGAAACCTACGTATTCGACACAGATAGACGTGGGCAGCAGACAGTGAGCCTGTATTGGTAATAATTATCGCAATCATCTCTGCACGGCTAGCAGTGCGCAGAGCTGCACGCCACGGCCTCCATGATGTACACACGCACATTTAGCTGACTGATTACTTTGTCACACGCACAACCGCCACTGCATTTTAAAATGGTCACGTGTGCTTCTTTATTTGGCGCACTGATTCCCCGTGTACACCTAGTATTAGTATTACGTAATAGTCATCGACTGCAGTGCAAGCACTGACTCTATTCTTCGCAAATGACAGAGTCATTATGTACATAATACACCGTCTATAGCTACTGTACAATGATTGTCATTTGTGTCATGTACATTTCGCAGCCCACTGTTCACAGGACTAGGGACGCGCAACGCCCAGTCACGTACTGCTACTTGCGCATAATAAAATCACTTCACAGGTCGGCGAACGTGTCGTGCAGCAATCGTGATCTACTGAGCGATTGACCCGGCATCGACGAAGGACTGATGCCCCAATACAAGTAAGTATTTAATAATTAATTTTTAGTAAATGATTATGTCATTGGTTGCATGCACTGACCCTATTCGTTATATTATCGCTAACCCGCGCTACAACTCTCTCTCTTCCCATCACCTATCACTGTTCCACACAGCTGCAGCCATCCACCGCTACTCGATCAAAGAACAATCAAGTCGCGGGAGCAGCGAAAGTGTCATTCGTGCTCTGCTCCGCGTTTGACGCGGAATCGAAGAAGAACGTATTTATTTTTAAAAATATTTATTATTATTATTAAACCAGTGAAAATTATAATGTGAAGAAGAGGTTGGTGCGACTTCGGTGAGAGTAGGGGAAGAGTGTGTTGCTCCCTATATGGGAACTCGCGGTTTTCCTGCCGAGTTGAATCCTCACTTGAGTGACTCACGACTGCCATCCAGAGAACACCAGAAGTCCATCATATAGTTATAGCTCTCCAGGCGCAAACATCACCAGGGATACAAACTTGCAGAGACGCTTCGTTTCCAGCGCGACCTCGCGAACACCAGATAGCAGCGTGAGTCAGTGTCGCTCATGGAGGCGCTGAGGCAAGTTAGTTGGCCATTTACAACGTTGTTGCGTCCAAACCATCTATTTATAGCAATACAAACTGCTTTATGGCAGTTTTCTAAAAAAAGTTATTGTGTTCTAGTCCATGGACCCCGTCTAAAAATTAAGAAATTAACGAAATGTGATAACCGAAAATTAAAATTTCACACAAAACCTCACAATAATCACAACACTTGAAATGCTGCTTTCAACTCTTAACTTGTACTGCACCAACAATTGGCAACATGCATGTCATGCATGCATAGGAAAGAGGATCATGAGGGGAAAGGTCTTCTACATGTACAATGTAGCTTTTCATTCTGTGTGTGATTATTGTGAGGTTTTGTGTGAAATTTTAATTTTCGGCTATCACATTTCGTTAATTTCTTACTTTTTAGACGGGGTCCATGGACTAGAACACAATAACTTTTTTTAGAAAACTGCCATAAAGCAGTTTTTATTGCTATAATTTCTTTTTGTTTTTTCTGTCACCAATCAATGGAATGTCTTAGATCAATATGTAAATGATGGCCTTCACATCATATCAATACCGTATTATACGCATTGATGTGCAAGCCTTTTCTTGCAGAAAATGGCACTAGCATGTTCTTCTGCGGGGAAACATGGGAGTAGTGGTGGACCGTGGTGATACTTTTTTTATACGGAGGTCATTCTGTGCATGTTGCTGTAGCAGAATTTCATAAAATTGTCTTGCCTTTCAGATATTTCAGATTTCCCCACTCTCGATCAGATTTATTTGAGAAATGTAACCAGGTGCGTGTCACAGATGTTTTTGTTGATTCTGTGTTTATAATGGTTTATAATCATGGGTTATCGTGATAAGGTCATCCTGCATCATATTGCACTGAAATCGTTATCCTGTTGATGTCGATACAACTTTTTGAAGTAGTTCAATGACTTCAAACTGTTAGTCCACGATTGTCTAAAACAACACAGCAAAGGAGGAACAATAAACATGTATTAAAATGTAAACAAATACATTGCTGAATCCGACACCTCGTTCCAACAACTACACTGATCCTGAGGATAAAAGGGGCAAGGCTATGGTTGGAGGCACTGAGAGATAAACAAGGCACTCCATAATAATAAAATCTTACACATCTTTTGGTGAGTATGAATGATATCCAGTCTAACCTCTTTAGGACGAACACCAAGGGACCGATGGTATTTATTCTGTGAGTTTGTCTTAACCTATTTTATAACCAGTGAATACAATTATTTCTCCAATAGACATACAAATAGATTTCTTCTACAGCGAAAGATTGTAAGCCACACCAAATCATTGACTCGTCTCGTATGAAAGAAATGAGTCACTGGAGAGGTTCTGCAAAACGAAAATGCGTACAAACTTTTGTTCTACGTCATGAAGTGCGAAACTTCGCACGAACTTTCGCAACTTTGGACGCGAAACTTGCAGGGAACGCGAAATGAACTGTCGTTCACACTTTCGTGAGATAGGATCAGGGCGTACGTGCGCTTGGACCGCGCAAACTACGAAAATGTGCAGAACGCAAAGTTCGTGCAAAAATTCGTACACACTTTCGCAAGGACTGTCGCGAAACTTCGTTCGAATTTTCGTTTTGCAGAACCTCTCTACTGAACGTTTCTTTAGCAACATGACGGCAACTGAAACAGGAACAGAGAAAGTACGATACATGTACAGCACATTCTTGCAGGTACTACAAACAGATTGCAGATCGTAATTCTTGCTTTGGCGGCACGAAACTTTATTTGGGGCAGTGCAATCTCGGTGGTACTCACAAATAATAAATCAAACAGCCCAGACTCGAGGAAACAAATCCAATCATACAAGTACGAGATCTTCACGAGACGAGACTGCACCCATTGGCTGTTTTCGTATGAAGCAAACAAGTTTACTGAACCTCTCCACAATGGAGATTTTCCCTGATACAATGTATGCGAATTTATTTTGCAAACTCGGTCAATGGGTCCTTGAGTCTTTCCCTCCAGATTGGGAATTGCCAACAATAGTATGCCACTGACCAGTGCCTTACTTGTAATGTACTAATGTACAACGAATATGAGTATTTCGACAACACATTTAACATAAGCCTTACCACACACACACACCACATCTAAAATCCTGCCAATGTTACAATACATTCACACAGCTACTGAAGAATGCAACATACTAGTTGATATCCAGCCCTGCCCTAGCTTCTCCTGCTTTTCAGTTCCCCTTTCATTCTTTTTCTTTCTCCCCTCTAGCTCTATTACCGCCATGGCTGGCTATCGCCCACATCACCATTTCATTGGCTAGTGCCACGTGATTGTGAATAAATAAAATAAATAAATAAGAAGGTGAACTCGCGTTCTTCGCACACTGTAGACAAGGGCAAAGAGATAAAAATGGATCTAAATCCGAATAAAATCAGCACACGTTTCCGTAAATGAAAGGGTGAGCAAAGGGAAATGAATCGAAGGAAACCGGTCAACTCAGAGATCACCTGTCATCGAGTACTCCGTAAAAGGAAAAGAGATCCTGTCAGCTTTTCCATTATTTATTGCATTCCGCCCAAAATCAGCACACTTTTCGTAAATGAAAGAGTCAGCACAAGCAATTGAATCAAAGGGAACTGGTCAACTCACCTGTCATTGAGTAATATTCCGCGAAAGGAGGTCTCAGCAGCGCCGGAACGAAATAAGCCAGGCTAGGAGACGAAATATCCGAAACAGCTCATACAAGAAGCAGTTCCAAAGGAGAAAGTTCCTCGCGCATGCACATCCAAACACGGACTGCACTGCAACACAATGTCTGCCGTGCACGTGCACAGCACGCGGCTACCACCCGTTGGTAGATCTAATACCGAGCACCTTACGTAGAGACTTACGTAGCCGAAGTGAAATACCGAGCACCTTACGTAGAAACTTACGTAGCATAGCGGTGTCGTTTTTCTTGCCATGTGAACACAATAATAGAAAAGCTGACAGGATCGCTTTTCTAAGTTCGCAAGCCCGCGCTGGGGACAACAATGTGAATCCTATGTTTGAATTCCAGCTCTGGTGTGTCCGTTGGCCAAGTGGGGCCGATTTTGTTTTTCAGCATTGGCGCGTGTGTTCTTCGTTTGGCCTTGTGACGCGGGTTGGTTTTGAGAGCACTTGTTCTTGGTTTTCGCTGGCAAGTGTAGTGTTCACATAATATGGACTGTTACACATGGAGGAAACTTTCCTTTACCCAGCGGAGAGGGCTCAATAAAATAATGCAACACAATATCTTGGAGCACTATTACACACTAACGGAAGAAGTGTTTACAGACTTCTTCGAAACTCCGACATTCTCGCACAATGCAATCACAGGCGACTTATAACGTTATCAGTGCAATTTGGCCAATATGAGGTATAGTTTGATAATGCACACCTTGCACGTCTACATGTATATTCACGCACAATCTATACTTTCCGCGCTAATAGGTTCATCGCCCAAGTTGCCATCCACACGACCATCATGGCAATATTTCTGTGCTTTTTCAATACCCACAAGCTATCACCAAGCTATGCCTCTCATGAATTCCTTTTTACTTTTGTGCTTGTGCCTTCTAGAGTTGCATCTGTGCATCGCAACACCAGAACTCGCAGCGAGCACAGTGCTGTCAGTGGCCATGACC